AAAAAAAAAAAAAAAAAAAAAAAAAAACAGAAATGGGTAGCTGCATGGACGGATTGAAAGAGGGTACCAAAATGAAGGGGTATAAGTAGACGTAAAAAAAAAAAAAAAAAAAACGGAGCCCATTTTTCGAATGAGGATGGCTGGTGTGGGCTCTTCATCACAGCGACATAAATGTAAGGCACGTTCATATATTATTCCTTTTAGTGGGAGGCATACTGCCGCGTCGCTTCTTCACCGCTTCACCTCTTGGCCGCTTCATCGCTTCGCTAGATGTGCCCCATGAGACGCGGGTGCTTGAGCTGATTGTACACGAGGCACAATGCAATGCAGAGGGACACGACCCCGATGACAACGTAGAGGACGCCGAAGGAGCGCGACTTCTCGTTGACGAAGACGGAGCCCTCTGCTATGACCAAATATTTCCTCCCATGGAAGTTCTTCACAGGAAAATTATTTTCTATATTAACATACACTGGTAAAGCAAGTTCATGATTGAGTCTCGCGTACCTTTTACGAAATTCAGAGAGTGCAGCTGTCTTCATCCACACAATGAAATGAGAATTTTCTACCCCGAACCCATTTTTTGTGTTCATGTTAAGGACACTAACATATTTCTGTTTCATGAGCCAAAAGTCTACCTGGTCCTTATGCTCATTCATTTCTTTCTGCGATGGGTTTTTAAATTTATTAAGATCGCTGTACCACGTGATGGCTTCTTTTGATTCGTCTAGTTGTATCTGCTCGTTGTGTGCTTTGTCTTTGTACAGAGTGAAGGTGTCGTTGAAGACGCTGCGTGCGACGAGGCCACACGGGTGCAGCACCTTTCCTTCCTTGTTCTGTGCGACGGGGAAGCACTGCGCGAGGTCTTCTGGCCGGGTGCACACGGTGCCCTGAAAAGGGGGGGTGGAAATTGGAAGCGGTTACAACGGGGCTGTATCAACACGCAGCTAGTGCGCCAACGACACGCCGCAAAGTCGCCGCTAAATGGCCGCCAATTAGCGGCGTGTATGTATCCTGCGTACCATCAACTGGCTGTGCGACTTGGAAATGAGGTACTTCTTATGATTCTGGTAAAAGTTATGGAGCTCGTAGTAGATGTAAGCATTTTTGCGGAATGGCCTTACGGGCCCCTGGCAGAAGGCTTCGCTTATTTCTAATTGTATATATTGTGTGTCTGGGTCCTGCTCCCCGTAGGGCACTCTACACTCCTTTCTCGTGGCAGAAAGAGCAATGAGCAGAACACCCAACATGATAAAAGTAACAGAGACACTTGTGTAAGCTAAGATCAATCCGATGGGGGTCCATGAACGTTGTTTTGAATTTAATTCTTGTTGTTTGAATTTTTCAATTAGGGATGTATTTTTTTTTTTTTTTTTTTTTTTTTTTTTTCTTCTTGAGAATTTGTCCAACTTGGCTTGTCCTCTTTGGTCTTGTCTAGGTGAATCGATGAGGACCAGGTGCGACGCCAGGGGGGGGGAACTCCCTCCGCGGCGACTTGCCCCTGCATAGCGGCCACTTGTCCCCCCTCGGGCAGCACCCTTTTGTTAAACTGCTGTGCTAGGGTATCGTTATTGCTCTCCCCGTTAAGGCGATTGAAATGTTCGTTCATGTTAGTCAGGCGGTTTTGTTTCTTCTCGTTCGTGGGTTCAGGGTTCCCACTGTGGGAATACGTCCTGGGTGTTTTGCCTCTATCATCCTGCATGGATGTGATTGTGTTGATTGGTCTGCCTGCCGGGGAGGCTTCCCCTTTCGTATCACTGTCCCTCTGAATGAGGGATTCGTTTTGTCGAGGAGAGTCCGACTCCTTCGGCGCGAGTGATTTTGTGTCTTTCCCTCTCTCATTGGTCCCATTTGGGAGGTTCATCATATGCAGGTGATCTCGCTACTGCTGCAACCGTTACAAATATACGCGGTGGGGTGGGGGAGAATGGAACATGCAGAGTGAAGAATGGACGGGTGTTTACTTTATTACGCCGCCGCTTCGTCCCAGTTGGTCTCTCCTCCGCTAGGTGTTAAAGTTCGTCTTTTCGATCTCCACCCCCATGGAAAGGGTTTTTTTTTTTTTTTTTTTTTTTTTTTTTGCATGACCCTACTTCGGGGGCACACGGGTTACCCCTCAACAGTGTTGCGTTATGCGGGTGACGAATGGACTGGTCTGTTGGCGACGTTTGGGTTTAGGTGCCGTACGGGTGGTTAACTTCGAGTAAGAAGGGGGGGCGGGGTGAGCGAGAAAAACGGCGTGGCGCACTGTTGGTCTCGTCCGGTCGCAGCTATACTCAGCTGAACTCGCCTCCCCTCAACTGCGCGGGTCGCTTTCCCCCTTGTGCTTGCTTCACTTTTTACATACACACCGCTTTTCCTGTTCTCCGTTGGCTTTGCCCCATTTTGGTTTGCCCCTCTGCAGACGCTTCGCGTGCATGCATTTGGGTTGCTCGTGCGGAAGGGGGAAAAAAAATAAACAAAAAAAAAAAATAAACAAAAAAAAAAAAAAAACTAAAAATAAAACAGAAACAGCAACAAGCACACGTATGTACAAGTGTATTTACACATGTATGCACATACACACATGCGTGCGCGCTGCACTTGCTTATTTCCCCTGACGTAGTGGCACGCGCGTAGTGACGTCACAGCTATAACAGTTGGGGGTGTACCCACTCGTTCCCTTTTTCCATTCACAGAGTTCGTCCCCTGTGGTGATGAAAAAACTTCTTTTTCTACATTGCACATTTGACGCACAGATTGGACATGAATTGTTAAGCTGCTCAGAAAAAAAAAAAAATGAAGCGACATGACGCGACATGAAGCGAAATGAAGTGCCTACAATGGGTGATGGAAAAAAAAAAACAAAAAAAAAAGGGGAGGAATCCTCACACAAATGGAACATTAGCTTTATCCTGCTCCCTCCTAGAGGGGAAGGTGTATCCACCCCTTGTGTAACCCCCCTCCTTTCTTGTATCGTATGCCCACGAAGAATGGTGTGACACAGGTAGGGAACACACACCAATGGGATTGGTTACACGAGACACGTAGAACAATTTGTCCTTTCATCCGTGGGAACAAAAAGAAGAAAAGAAAAATAGAGTGATGATCTGTTGCCTGGGGGACACGACATGACCAAAGCGTAAAGAGGCAGCTGCGTGTGCCGTTGCTACGGCTTTTTTTTTTGCCTCATTTTTTTTTTTCCCGATCTGGGTGTAATGTCCAGTGTGGACCATCTCACCTGCTCGTTAATTATGCCAAACACATTTGTTCAATTCGGGTGATGGAAAAAAAAAAAAAAAAAGTGTTTTCTTTTTTAATGAGATAAATACTTCATTTAGAAGGGGATATATAAAGTTCCTTTTTTGGACCATGGCTGGTTCCTTTTTTTTTTTTTTTTTTTTTTTTTGCGCGATGCAGAATGTGGCGTTTGTGCACACGCTTTTTTGGTGTTCGGTCGCCGGGGGAAAAAAAAAAAAAAAAAAAAAAAAACAGAGAGGAAAGGCGTCACTTGGCGCAGAACATGTGGACGTTGTCAGTTTAAGCGTGCGTACGTAACATATATATATATAAAAGTAGAGCATAACACACACACACACATGTGCACATGTTGCGTTACGGAACCTACTTTTGCGCGTTCAACTTGTGGCGAGCTCTCTCTCTCTCCTCACGCCTCACTTGAGTAAAATACCGTCAAATTTAGTTTGAAACCATTTCATCGCTTCATCCTTGGTGACCTTGTGGGTCTTGGAGATGGTCGATCGCTTTCTCCTTCTTCTAGTAACTCTGTAACCTGGCCTAGACAAATGGACGTAGAAGTCCATACCATAAATACCAGTAGACGGGTCATACTTAATTCCTAAGTCAATATGCTCTTGAATACCAAAGCCAAAATTTCCTGTTTCAGAAAAATTTTTTCTCCTCAATTCATACTCCTTCACCTTGAGTCCCTTTTCCAGTATCTCCAACGCCTTCTTTCCTCTCACAGTTACGAAGCAAGAAATTTTTTCATTTCTTCTCACACCAAAGGATCTGATGGTGAACCTGCATTTGCCGAAAATGGGTTTTTGCTCCGTCAGTTGCTCCAGCACCCTGGCCGCTCTGGTCAGCCTGTCTCCTGACTGCAGGGGGGAATAAGAAAAAAAAAAAAAAAGGGGGGCATATAGTTAGCGTCGCACAGAAGTGGTGTCGGGAAGCGCTGCGACGAAGCGCCACCCCACGTATCCTTTCCCCAACCGAGTGCCTAGCCTACCTCTCCCACACAAATGTTTAGGACCAACTTGTTGACCTTAATCTCCCTCATAACATTATCTTCCTTTTTTTCCATCCTGAATAGCTCGTCGTGTTTTTAATGGTACCCTTTTAAAAAGGGGAAGTAAAAAATTGGGCAAGGGTCCAGAGAGTTGACTTGAGAACCTGTGGTTTGTTGTGTGCTCTTCCCTTTCGAGCAACAAAAAAAAAAAAACTCCCACCTGGGGTACTGGTCGTTGTCGTTGTGGTTTGCTGTTGAGCGATGGAAGGAAAATTGCAACGCTGTGATGGGCACAACGGCGCTTCCAGGTGGTTAATAAAAAAAATTGGTTTTGCTTTTCTCTTTTCCTCTTTGCGCGGATCCGCAAGTCTCGTGTTTGACTAGCTTTTTGTTTCACTTGTTTTGTTTCACTTGTATTGTTCACTTGGACGCGAGAGGATACTACTTCTTTCGCTTTTCCGTCCCTTGCGGAAATGAAAAAAAAAAAAAAAAAAAAAGAAAAATACGTGGCCTTTATATCGAATGCCCACGGATGGAGCAGCTCGTTCGGTTGACGTGGAAATGGAACAAGGAAAAAAAAAACACGTGGCAGGGAAAAAAAAAATAATAAATAAAGGAAAACCCCAAAAGGAACAAAAAATTGACCGAAGCGCTTTGTTTTTTTTTTTTTTTTT